AGGGTCACGTCAACGTTAAAGGCCTCATGACTGCCCATCACCCAATCTCTGGTGAACGAGGCCCCACTTTCGTAGAAAGAATCCCTATGCGCCTTTACGAAGAAGTAGCTCCTAAACCACTCCCTCCCTAACTTGGGACATTCTATCAAAAAATGGCCGGGGAGACCTAGGCGCCTCTGCAGCAATAGGCAGTTGTCGAAATAGACCATGTTGAAAAAGTAGTGGAAAAGGTTGAAGGTGGGCTCGACATTATGCTGACGACATTTCAACTTAAATAAAATGTGGATAAGGAAAACGGAGGGAGACAGGCGCCCAAGTGAGCATCGGCAAGTGGATAGAATGCCCTCTAGGATAGAATCGAGGGGAAATCGGAGTCCAAAACGAAAATATTCCCGGTAGATGCCAAGCCACCGAGGCCCAACTACTCCAATCCTAGCCATACTAGAGGCAGGCGCATAGGACCAAGACCGCGGAAGTTGCATCGACACGATCAGATTCTCTAACTCCAACGATTTCATGGTTGAAATTTTACGTGGCCCTCCTTCTTGAAGTGAAAGGTGGTGTGTTTCTTCGGGCGCCTGCCCCGTCGGCCAGGTGTCTACCCACCTCCGCAATCTAATGGATTCACCCCCCTCGGCGTCCGAGTCCGAAGGCGGGGGAGACACTGTCGATCCGGAAGAACGCGATGAGCCAGGCAAGGGGGAGACACTGTCGATCCGAAGGCGGGGGAGACACTGTCGATCCGGAAGTCCCCAAAGTACTTCTCTCTCTAAACTTAGGACTGACTTGAGCGTTGGAGTGCTAACGGGCATCTCAAAGCCCTTAGGCGTACATCTGTGCAGGATCTGGACGTCTGTGGGGAAGTCCATCGTACGGAAGTTCGAAGGAGCAGGTTCGAGGGTCACGTGGCTTCAACACCAATAGTTTTTGTATGAATCGTAATATCTTATGGACTGTCAATCGTGATCCTAAAGTATGCATATGACTGAACCAATGAAATGTGAACGATCTCAATCAATCGATTATAGTATTATTTTTTTCTTTCTTTCTTTGAGAAACCATGAGGGGAAATCATGACTAACTATTTGAAGTTGAAGCCACTATTTGGAAACCCATGCACTTAACCATGTCGGTTTTGTACATTCAAGTGTCGTAAATAAGGTTTTCAAATGAGACGAAAAACAACTTAGTTTGAGGGACTCCCATGGCATGTGTTGTTGCCATCTCCTCCATCGTTTTATATCATATTTCTTGAGTTCAGTAATAGTGTAGACATGAGAATTCTTCTATAGATACATTGAAAAATCTTCAACCGTGACTGCATCATGTTCTTATTATTGGCGTTCAACATATTTACTTTTGTGGTACACAAAACTTGCAGCCCTCATGTTACACATTGGGTTATACTCATCTACCAACTGATCTCCATACCTATGTTGTAGTAGTAATTAAATAACAGAGACAAATGAAAGCACACGTATATATAAAGGAAGTTAAAGGGATTGAAGGACTCACATAGTGTGATACCGGGAAGAGATGACAATGATATTTAACTTAGTAAGTTGAGATTTGGGAAAGAACTGATCAGGAAACAAAATTAGACCTATTAATCGACATGTCAAGATGTTTGTTTGATTTGTTTGATTCAAGTATAATTTTTTGGATGATTGCCTAAAATGTTGTATTGAAATATGAAGATTTTTCACTTTATTTGAAATGTTGTATTTTATTTAAATACGAATGTATATTTTAGAGAGATTATCTTCAATCTATCTACTATACTTATAATACACCGAAGGGAAAAACAGTTTCCCCATTTCAAATTTCCTGCAACGAGAGTGAAAGTAGGAAGGACATTTTGGTCTTCACAATAACTTTTTTTTATTCATTAAAAAGACATGTACTAGGATTCGAACCATGACCATTTTATAGAAAAGCAAGGATCATAACCAATCACACTAAGTAGATTTGTTGTATCTTTTTAAATTAAAAACATATAATAGCAGGGAGGAAAAAACTATTCCCCCATTTCAAATTCCCTGCTCTAGGAGCGTTTGTAGGAAGGGTAGAATAGGGAGTGTCAATTTTTTTTTCTTTCCTCTGTGGAACGGGCCAACTTACCGTACACATGCGGATTTAAACGGGTCCAAGAGTGTCAATTTTTTTCTTTAATCCCTTTTATTTCTCCGTGGTGATAAAATATATATGAAAAGGCAAAAATAATACTCCTTTTATTGTTAAAAATAAAAAATTTAACAATAAACTAATGAATGGTATCTAATGGCTAACCGCTAACCATAAAATAAAAGAGTTGAATGGGTCTGACCTACACGGGATTTGGCCATCAAGTAAAACAAATGAACATAATTGGTTTGCCATTCTAAAACAAGCTATTTTCTCTGGCATAATATATATTATGCTATTATTTTATATCTTAGTGGCTAAAATATAATGTATTTTAAAGTTATTCAATGGTTCAACCTCGACCAACCCAATTAGTCCAATTTTTATCATTTCAAATATATATTATATAATTATTTGATATCATAATGATCAAATTATAGTGTATTTTATAGGGAATCGTTTGATATTTGTTAGTAAAAAACTAAACTGAAAGATCTATTTGGTTATTTTAAACATTAAAACGATCCTAAACATTTTCCGTTCCTTTTTGAATTTCTATGGTTTTATTCCCGAATAAGTGATGTGCAAATGGCGAATTGCAGTCATCTCTTTTCTTTCACTATTTTTTATTTTCAAATAGAAAGTTTAAAATTAAAGAATAATTAGGATTTTTGCCCGTTTGTTTTATGCATTGCAAATTTATTAGCATGTTGATGGAAATGGCTTGGAAAAAAAGACATATAAGTTGTACCTTTGCAGAAATGTCCTCAAATGTTTGAATGCTTTGCGAATCAGGTTCCATGACTTTTGTGATATTGTATGTGCTTGACGATTGCTCGATGTTGTAACTACTTAATTTGAGAGTAAATCTTTTGATTTTCCCTATGAGTTGTGATACCAGTTCTGGTGGTTGCAGCATGTTGTCGTTGTTGGCCTGTAAAAGTTTTTCAGTCGTGATGCTAAATACCTTTCTTTCCTTTTTAACAAATTGTGTAGTAGTGCTATGAAACAGACCACCCATGAACGCTACGCTTATTATGGTCTATTCTTACTTCCGGTGGTGAGAAATTGTGAATTGAGAATCATATTCGCCTACCGCACTGTGTCTGGCTGGTGGCTGCTTACTGTGCTCTCTAGAGTTATGAAATAGACTACCCATGAACGTTTACTTAAGAGTCCATAACTTTGCGAAAAACCAAATTTAGGCAATCAAAGGTGGTGGATGTGTGATGATTTTTTATGGCTTAATTGTTTGTGAATTGGATATCTGATCTTTGTATGATTAGAGGGGATGTTTTCTTAATAGAATAATCCATTTTAATTCATGTTTATTTTTAACATGAACTTTAGTAACTCAAAACCTTCGAGACACATATCACCTATTGCATTGTATCATTTTGCCTGGGTGCTTGTTGTGTTGTCAAACTTCTTTGTTGCTGCTACATTTACACTAACAGGGGAGTTAAGAACCCATGAATGTTTCCGTTTGACACAAACATGAGGACTTGCTTCTAAATCGTGCACTAAAGATGATTGGAGGAAACATCTCTGATGCAGTTGATATACTGGAGACCAGAACAAAAGCAACGTATAACATCAAAACCAACCATCTGAACTATTAGCATTGTTGCTTTACTCTTTTTTCGTGGTTGAGTCTCCTTAAAAAAATTTAGTTTGATTTTAGAAAATTTTGCTTCTGCAGTCCTATCTTGCCACCAACGTGTTCAGTAGATGGAGATGGCGGAGGCGAAGGCTATTTTTGTGTTGTTGTTTCTGGTTTAGGGATCGGTTTGTGAAGAAGAGGGAGAAGAGAGGGGGGGAAGGGAAATGCAGGAGAGGGGGATAACTCTTTTCTCCGACAAAAATGGAGTGAAGAAAGGAATTATGATCAATAAGGATATGGTTATCTTACATAACAGTATCTATTCCGTTTGAATTGAGCTTGGCAGGCAGTGATAAGGACGAGCTGCAACCAATTCATAGTGAGAAGAGAGCTATGAACTGTAATCATGTCTTATTTCAAGTTAGAAGGTAGTTTCAGTATAAGGATTATTTAAATTGACAAGTTGTTTCGTCCATGATTCTTGGTAGTTTCAGTGCCATTCTAGCCATTGTTTAGTCTGTAATATTTTAGAATTGATGTGCGAGTAATGACTTTCACTTAGCTTCAACTATTATGTGTGTATTTATTGGCATGTGATAGAATTCTCTTTTCCTTTTCTTTGAATTAAGTTTCATACTCTAATTGTATCATTTGTACATAGGCAAATCATGCTCGAGATGACAACTCGCTGATATGGCTGGTGCAAGAAATGAAGACATCAGTAGAATTCAGACCGACAACGGGGAGGGATGCCCAGGACTAATTCAATGATGATTGATGATGGTATAATAAAAACTGCAGTCTGCATCAACACCAATTTCTAGGCCTAAGTAAAGTTATTCAACCCAGAACTCTGTTTAGCGCTAAAAATTGCCCTCACCCAACTTTGATCATGTTTAACCCACTTCTGAAGAGTCAAGATATATGACTAATCCTCTCCGTTCGTATTTTCTTATTGACTCTTTCTGACCCTTTAAGTTGGGGCGGGTCGAGAAGAATCGGATTAGTGGGTCGATCCTAATCAAGTGGAATCCCAATCCCTTCACTCTCACTTGCTTTCTCTCCCATTCCACAAGTGAGAAACATACAGTAATCCGGCCAACGGGCCGGGTAATAAGCTAGTAACTTATATATTGTGTCTAGTAAATTCATTTAGTTTTAGTGGTTCCCATTTTTCTTAATAATTTGTTTAAATCTACATGAACTGACATAAACTCACACAAACCATTTGACTAAGGGCTCTTTGTCACCTAAACCTGTGTCCCTCACCCAACCACGTTAGAGACGTCAAAACTCCAACAACAACAGCAATGGAGGCCAATCATGAGGATTCCTGCAAAGCTCTCCCGGAGCTTCTTTCCTCCTTCGTCGACACCTTCGTCGATTTCTCCGTCAGCGGCGGCTTATTCCTACCCGCCACTCCTACTTCTCCGCCTCGGCCACCAGCCACCTCCGCAACTCCACAAGATGGCGCTCTCCCCCCTCCCGATCCCTTCCGAACTCGTTACCCTACTCCCAGCCGGCTCATCGCCATCGGAGATCTCCACGGAGACCTGGAGAAATCAAAACAGGCCTTCCGCCTCGCCGGCCTGATCGACGCATCCGATCGCTGGTCGGGCGGCTCCTCCACTGTTGTCCAAGTCGGCGACGTGTTCGATCGCGGCGGCGACGAGCTCAAGATTCTCTACTTGTTGGAGAAGCTGAAGAGGGAAGCCGCTAAGAGCGGCGGGAATCTGATTACAATGAACGGGAACCACGAGATCATGAACGTAGAAGGCGATTTCCGCTTCGCGACTCGATTAGGGTTCAAGGAGTTTGAGGATTGGGCGTTTTGGTACCAAATGGGTAACAAGATGAAGACTCTCTGCGCTGGCTTGCCAAACCCTAAAGACATATTCGAAGGCATCCCTAGAGCGTTTCACGGCGTAAAAACGGATGCTTTGAATGGAATCAGAGCTCGAATCGCTGCTCTGAGGCCCGGCGGCCCTGTGTCCACCAAATTCTTGACGAACAATCTAACTGTAGTTGTCGCAGGCGATTCTGTGTTCGTACACGGCGGATTGTTGCCTCAACATGTTGACTACGGCCTGGAGAGGATGAACAAGGAGGTGAGGGACTGGATTTCCGGCTCCATGGGGAGATCTGCGCCGAGCTACTGCAAAGGAAGGGATGCTGTAGTTTGGTTGAGGAAATACTCCGAGGAAGTGGCGTCGAAATGTGACTGTTCTACGCTCGAGCATGTTCTCGCGACGATCCCTGGAGCGAGGAGGATGATAATGGGGCACACGATTCAGGAAGGCGGGATCAACGCGATATGTGAGAACAGGGCGGTCAGGATTGATGTGGGGATGTCACATGGTTGCGGAAATGGGTTGCCCGAGGTTTTGGAGATCAATGGGAATTCGCAGGAGGTAAGGATTCTGACCTCTAACCCATTGTATTACAAGAACAAGGATAGTTACAAGTCTGGTATAGAGGATAGTGGTAGCAGGAAAGATGGCGTTGGGTCGTTGGGTTCGATGAATAGGTTGCCCCAGGTGGTTGAAGTTAAGGCTTGAAGAGGTTTGAAATTTGGTTCTGGTTACTATCCAGCTATGTTATTGGGAATTAGGATTGGTTGTTTAGATGAGCTTCCCCCAGAATTTGTAAAGCATTGTTTTGTGCTATCAATGAACAGCTAGGAAGCACCTCTGAACTTTTAGCCATGTTTGCTGCATATGTTTGGTGCACCGATTTCCATTCTTTGATTTCTTTGGTTGGTGTGTGCATAATTAGCTTCTACCATGAATGAGGTCATCGATTTCCCACTTCCCAGTTTCTGCCATTGAGGTATGTGTCTGGAACTTGAGAAGTAAGTTAGAAGTGTCAGCTGTCTGATGCAAAAGGGTTTATCTTCATGTATGTATTTTAGTCGTACACAAGAAAACCTTCTGTGGGCAGCATTCGCAGATTCCTGCAGTGCCCTCTACTGACTGCTCTCTAGAGTTCTGCTCTGGAAATTGAGAAACCTGGAAACGGCTCCCTGCTGCTTGAGTTGGGTTCAGGGGTTGCGTTAGGGAATTTGGTTATGAGAGTCGAATTTACTGTCCATATTCGGGATGAAATTCTAAAATACACATGTTTTTAGAAAAAAATCCTAAAATACACACGTTATAAAAAAAATTCTCAAAATACACATGTTTGGCCATCACCGCTGTTGTCAACCGCAGTGAATGCATTCACCGCGGTAGACCAAAGCGGTGAATGCATCATCGCGGTTGACGGGCACGGTGAATCCCTGACGTAACACTGGAACTTCAAACAAATGTAACTTTGCGCTCGGTAATCCGATTGCATCGATTGTTTTTATTCCATATAACTTTTCATGATCTTTCAATCTGCTACAAGACTTAATCTCAAAAAAATGTCGTTTGTTACCCCGAACGAGCAATTTTTCGATTTTGCAAAACTTTGGAAGGCCATAACTTTTAACTTCTCAATCCGAACGTCGTAAAGTTTTTTTTTATTGAGCATAACTTTTTAAGAACTACAACTTTTAATAGGAAAGAATTTTTTAAAAAAGAAATATTTTTGGGTATACGGGATTTTGGCAATAACTTTGCCTTTACTTTTCACAAATCCACATTCTTTCCAAAATTATGGTTATAATCAAAGTTTTAGTCCTTTCAAAAGTTATGCGAAATCAAAAAAAGTTTCATGACATTCGGATTGGGGTTAAAGACACATTTGGCCACTGAGATTACAAAATCGGGACATGTTTAGTCACTAGAAAATGTTAATATCAAATTTGGTCACTACAAATACTAAAACTGGACACATTTAGTCAGGAAAAAATCCCAAAGTACACTAGTTCTTAAAAAAAATTCCCAAAATACATAAGTTATAAAAAAAATTCCAAAAGTACACATGTTTGAGCATCACCGTTTTAGACAAAAGCGGTGAAGGTCATCACCGCTTTTGACCAAAACGGTGAATACTTCACCGTTTTTGTCTAAAACGGTGATGTATTCACCGTTTCAAACTAAAACGGTGACTGCTTCACCGCGTGAGAGCAAAACGGTGAAGCACTGAACTGCGTCCAAACTTTAAAACAACGTAACTTTGTGCTCGGTTATCCGATCGTAGCGAATTTTTTTTTGATTCCGCATAATTTTTCGAGATCTTGCAAGCGCAAACTGCCGGAGGCGGTTTGGTCCTGCCTTCGTCTCGAAAAAATGTCGTTTGCTACCCCGAACGACCCTTTTTTCGATTTCGTCAAACTTTGAACGACCATAACTTTGTGCTCCACAATCCAAAAATCATGAATTTTTTTTTGATTCCGCATAACTTTTTAAGGACTACAATTTTTAGTAGGAGAGAATTCTCAAAAAATGAATTATTTATGGATATAAGGGGTTTTGGGAATAACTTTACCTTCCCTTTTCAGGAATCCAAGTACATTCCGAAATTATGTCTATGATAAAAATTGTAGTCCTTAAAAAGTTATGCGAAATCAAAAAAAAATTCATGATTTTTGGATTGTGGAGCACAAAGTTATGGTCGTTCAAAGTTTGACGAAATCGAAAAAAGGGTCGTTCGGGGTAGCAAACGACATTTTTTCGAGACGAAGGCGGGACCAAACCGCCTCCGGCATTTTGCGGCTTGCAAGATCTCGAAAAATTATGCGGAATCAAAAAAAAATTCGCTACGATCGGATAACCGAGCACAAAGTTACGTTGTTTTAAAGTTTGGACGCAGTTCAGTGCTTCACCGTTTTGCTCTCACGCGGTGAAGCAATCACCGTTTTGCTCTCCCACGGTGAAGCAGTCACCGTTTTGCTCTCACGCGGTGAAGCAATCACCGTTTTTCTCTCACGCGGTGAAGCAATCACCGCCCTTCTCTGACGCGGTGAAGGCCCAAACATGTGTAGATTGGGAATTATTTTCATAACATGTGTATTTTGAGAATTTTTTTTAAAAACATGTGTAACTTGGGATTTTTTCCCATTTAGTCACTCGCCGTTAGTCTCCGTCCAACTCCGCTAATAAATTCCGTTAAGTGCTGATGTGGCAAACATAATTGCCTAATCAGCCGGATATAACCCAACAAAAATAAAACCCGACCCGCCACGTCATTATAACCCGCCACGTCATTAAAACCAACCCATGACCCAACCCCACCCAACCCTTCTTCCTCCTTCCTCCCACCTCGGCACCTCTCACCTCCTTCTTTCCCCAAAACTACCGTCGCCGCCGCTCTGCTCCTTCCTCCCACCTCCTCCCGCAAACCTGTTCCACCTAACCCAGCAGACCAATCATTCACATTCCCACACCAAATCTGTTCGTCTCCTCTGATACATTTCTTCCCCCAAATCCCAACCTACCCAGAAAACCAAAAAAACCCCTTTTCCCACTTCTCTCCACAACAATCTGAAACTACAATCTCATCTTCGTTCAATCATGTCATTTTTATTTTCTCCCTACAGCTATGGGCGAAGGAATGGAGAAACTCAGGCTCCTCAACCCTGACATTCTCGAATTGGTGCTATCGAAGCTGCAGACTAAGGATTTGCTTCGGATGAAATGCGTTTCCAAAAGTTGGAGGGATCTCATTCGCGAGCGTTCTTTCGCGCTGCTACATTCACGGCTGAGGCTCCCGTCGGTGTCCAGATTGGGAGGGGTTTGGTGTCTCTGCCATGAGTTACATTTCGGCTGAGAGGAAAGAAGTGGAAAAGGGGGTTTTTAGGTTTTCTGGGTGGGTTGGGATTTGGGGGAAGAAATGTATCAGAGGAGACGAACAGATTTGGTGAGGGATGGTGAAGGATTGGTCTGCTTGGTTAGGTCGAACATGTTTGCGGGAGGAGGTGGGAGGAAGGAGGAGAGCGGCGACGACGGTGGTTTTGGGGAAAGAAGGAGGTGGGAGGAAGAAGGGTTGCGTGGGGTTGGGTCATGGGTTGGTTTTAATGACGTGGCGGGTCGGGTTTTATTTTTGTTGGGTTATATCCGGCTGATTAGGCAATTCTGTTTGCCACATCAGCACTTAACGGACTTCATTAACGGAGTTGGACGGAGACTAACGGCGAGTGACTAAATGTGTCAAGTTTTAGTAATTGTAGTGACCAAATTTGATATTAACTTTTTCTAGTGACTAAACATGTTCCGATTTTGTAATCTCAGTGACCAAATGTGTCTTTAACCCCCGTATGTAGCACAAAGTTATGGTCTTCCAAAGTTTGTCAAAATCGAAAAATTGCTCGTTCGGGGTAGCAAACGAATTTTTTTTTTGGGATGAAGGCTTTTTGCAGATTGAAATTTCTTGAAAAGTTATGCGGAATAAATAAAAATTTGCTACAATCGGATAACCGAGCGCAAAGTTATGTTTGTTTGAAGTTTTGGTGTTACGTCAGGCATTCACCGCTTTGGTCTGCCACGGTGAATGCATTCACTGCGATTGACAACACCGGTGATGCCCAAACATGTGTATTTTGGGGGGGGGGGGGGGGGAATTTATAACGTGTGTATTTTGGAAATTTTTTTAAAAACATGTGTATTTTAGGATTTTTTTTTCCCCAGATTCGTGGGGTGAATTAACCATAGGCTATAGTACATTCTGATCTCCATGGTTGCTTGGTTCCATTGGGTGATTCTGATCTGAGCATTGCCGCTGTCACAGGCTTTCGTATTAATCAACCAACATGAAGAACAATGAGTTGTTATTTTCAGCTGTTCAATGAAAAGAAATACAAGGCATAGAGTAGCAGGGTTCTGTTTTCATTTACTCGATGAGTTTTCTCCCACCTAGTATGGTAAATTAAATGTTCTTGGCGAATGGTAGGACTTAAATGGAAGTAAATTGGTTGGCAGGGGCCGTGACCATTCATCTCCGCAGATTGTAAGTATGATTCAAAAGAAACTCAGACCTTTGGGGAATGATTTGTTTGCGTCTATGTTACTTTCCTGAATATGTGCTGCTCAGTCAGTCAATGTTTCATGATTTCAGGGTCTAATTTGTTTGGCATTGAAGTCTGCTCCCATCCTTTCTGGAATGCAAATAGTCCGAGGTGTTTGTTCTTCGTTTTGCGTTCGAGGGCTTCTATTTAGACGACAATCACACTTAGCAACACAACAAACACAAACACGTCCATTTGCTAGCCCCATCATCACAATTCACAATGATACTAACAACTGTAGGGGGCACAAAATGAAACAAGCAAGAAACATTGATTAAGGAGCTCATGCAAGATTAAACTACAAAGCGTTGATTCAGGACTGTTCAAAGGGGAATTAGACAAAACGAAAGATATATGGAAAGAATGACGAGACTACGAAAAGAGAGAATATCCAGAAAACTGTTAAGCAGCTAGTAACTGACGGATTAGCCAGAGAAGACCAAAGAATCAAAGCCTAGGTTTTACCTGATAGAAGACCACACTTCCCTAAACCCTAGAAGAAACAACAGTGCTAAAACCACCACCTACCATTACATCTAAGAATACTACACACCATCTGTTTCTCTGCATAGACTGTAAATGGCTCATCAAGGCATCATTGATCAGTCATGGACCGATATAAATCGATGGTGTTCTAGCAAATCCAGTATCATGAAAATAAACAAGACATTTGGCAGAACATACATTTCAATGTTAAATGGTACCTGCCAACTCCACCCTTAACATGGTGTAAATCTCCTCACCAACGTCTTTAAGCAGGTCAAAACTGTCTGACGAGTGAAACATGATCTAAATGTTCGGCCTGTACGATTTAGTGATGCATATTTCCATGAAAAGCCTTCTGCTAACGACATTGTAGACCATAAGATGTAAAACCAGCACAGTGATTGTCGTATGATTCAAACAAACAGTCGATGATACTCCGATCGCAATTTCAACCACAGGGGCAACACCACAGGAATGGTGCGAATCTAACACAACGACAAACAGCCTAATTCAAGAAATCGTAAAATCATAAGCTCAACCACGGCTATATCCAGTTGACATTGGCCACAATGAGTCGTAACTGAAAGTAATAATATCCAAAACTTGAATAATCCCAAAATTGTTCTCCAGGGACTAAGTAACCATGCTACCATTCCAAAATAGACTTCCAACAGATAAATCAGAGCTATCAGAAAACAAGAAATGTTTCACCCAATTAATCGACGCTCTGCATGATATCCTCGGCGGTGAACTTGGTGCCCTTGTCCTTGTCGGCGGCGGCGCGTCCCTTGGCCTTGCGGTCGAGCAGCGACTTGCGGTCCTTGTCGAGCTTGAGCTTGGTGATGACGACCTTGGAAGGATGGATCCCGACGTTGACGGTGGATCCGTTCACCTTCTCCCTGGTGATGCGCTCGATGTGGATCACCCACTTACGGCGGTACACCTGGACAACCTTTCCCTCGCGGCCCTTGTACGTGCCGCGGACCACCTGAACCTCGTCGTCCTTGCGAACCGGCATGGACCTCACGTTGTACTTCTGGCGGAGGTCGGTGGAGAGCGGGGCGCTCATCAGGATGCGGCGGACCGACGAGGGCGCCGTGAAGTGAGCCTTCCGGTTCTTGCGCCGGGAAGACGAAACCCTAGGATTGTACTTCATTGTGCCTGTGTGTGGTGTGCCGACGGCGGCTAGGGTTCTGGAGCTGGTTCTGCGAAAATGAGTGGAGAACAAAAAGGCTATTTACGGAAGTGGAAGGTTTTATAGTGGCCGAGATTAGGAGTAGGGTTTTTGAGAAGAAGAGGGGAGTGTCATTGGGCTGGGTTGGACTGATTTGATTTGTTTTTATTTTTATTTTTATTAGGAGATGGGCTTTGGAAGGGCCAGCTTAACCAACTCTTAAGCTTTTATTCTGCTGGAAGTCCTTTCATATGCTTAGCCCAATTTGTATTTGATGACATTTGTCCCAACTTGACAAGGGTTTTGCACTCGGACCACAGGAATGGCTCTACACCATTTTAGTTCAACCGGAGATTGGTAAATTACAAGTTTGGTCACTGGACTTATCATGTTTTTTTAATTTATATAAGGGTGATATATAGGTTTCTGGTTTGTAATTAAGGTACTCGACCCGTCACATCATTAAAATTTAAAACCATAACCTAACCCATGGCCCAAACAACGTGGATGAAGCTAGGGTGCTAACTAACATCTAAACCGTTCATTTATATTTTAATCTTATGGCTACCATTAAAGAAAGGGTATAATGGGAAATCAAGAGAAAAAAAATAGTATTGATTTACGGGAAACTGCAAGCGCGGATTTTTTGAAATTTTCGCCGGAGATGTTGCTTTTCTGTAAAGAAATAACACTAATACGATATTTTCAAAGGATCTCAAGCATTCATAAACAGTATGAAGCTTCAAATCAGTAACATTGAAACACTATTGATAGGTTCTTCTTCTTCTTCCAACCAGAGCAGAGCCTACCATCTGATTTTGTCGGTCTCGCCCGAGGTATCTTTATTACTCTTCGTGTAGCTCAATTGATCTTCGAGTTCTTTGTTTATGTATTGTATAATTTATTGGGGTTTGCAAGAAAAAAGTGAAGAAAAAAACCCTCATAGGGTGCTAAGCTTTTCGTTTAGCTCCGTGTAATGACAAGTATGGTGGCTTGGATTCCTCTTTTTCACAGTAGATCCAGCAGCATCTTGTTTGAGATCTCGGAGTAGATCTGTTATATATGGTTCTTTCGAGGACTTTTTGATTCCCCTGAACTCTATGTGAATATGAGATTCAATGTATTGGTAATATTCTTGCGCAAGTTTGTCACAGTGCAGGGAGATACTGACATTCTGGGATGCATCGCCGGAGTTACTTCGCCACCCAACTCCGGTTGTAATTTTTCTCTCTCTAGTTCACTGTTAATCCCGTTGATTACTCCTTTTATTTTCTTGATCACAATTGATGTTTGATTGTCTGAATACATTAATTAGCAGGAATATTCAAGTGTACGTGGACCGTAATGGCAATTTTTCATCATTCCTTTCTCCATTATTGCTATTTGTACCTTATTACGTTATGCTTCTTGCTTTCTCAGGAGATATTCTTATTTTGGTTTTGAATTTATCTCTCTATTCCTGGTTTTGCGTTGTCAATGTGCCTTCTGTTCTGTGATCTATAGAATTCTAATTGATCAATTAATCGTAATTAATTGATTCCCAACCTCTCTGTGTAATCATGGTTTTAGTCGGCAAATTTATTTTGGTCTTGATGCCATTTTATTTTTAAAATTTCTTAGAGTGATCCATGTAAGTTTCTTTCGTTATCGTTATTTCTTGAGGTGTCATCGCATTCAAGACACTTTTTAATTATTATTTTATATAATTTTCAATGCTCTCCATTCCCTCCGCCGGTTTCCATTGTTATTCTTTTCTTTTATTCTCCTTGTTGTTTTACTCGTCCGTAATTATTGCTATTGGTTTAGTTTTTGTTTGATTTAAATACTTTCCAAATTAGTTTGATCATCTGTGTAATTTCGTTGCTCTTAATTTCCCTACTGCGAGTTTTGTTGTTGTTGTTTTTACTTTTAGCTCGGCTCCTCATTGGAGTGGTATTTCGGTCATTCGTATTAATTCTCATTGATAGACTTTAATCTCTTTGGATAGAGATTTCTAGCACTATAGTGGATCCCTTTTGGGTTGTCTTCATTGCAGGGGCATCCTATTGTAAATAAGATACATGATGGAAGTGTAGCCGACCTCATCAGTCTCTCAGTTAAGCCCATTTGCTCTTGGTACATTATTCATGGAATTAATGATGTCTATTAGAAGGTGACTTACTCATAATGCCTTGACTTTTTCTTTTGAGGAAATTTCTCAACTGGCCATCAGAGACATTTCAGAGAAGAAGTCTTCCTAATTCAGAGCTGACTCCATGAGGGAAGTTCTTCTTTCTCTCTTCTCACTCCCTGTGTCAGTTTCGTGTCTTTTTGCTCCTCAGAGTTTTTTTAGAGCTGCCCACCCTGTGGCATAACAGGCTCTTTCATCGGGAGTCCGGTTGCATATGGACTACAGTTCTTTATTATTTTCTATTTATATTGTTGTTGTTCGGCCATGCCCTGAGGGCTTATCTTGAATAAAAAAAACACTATTAATAAGGAAATAACTAACAAAGAAAACACTACCATTGAAAATTATTAACAAGATAAACGCTGAAAACATTAATAAAAATGAAAACACTATTACAACTTAACTGACACCCAAAGAAGAAAGGAAGACGTGCAAAAGAATATCTTAATAAAACCCATCGATCGGCAAGAATCATATAGAAAATCGCCAGTAAAATAAGGAAGAAAAGAAAATTTTATCTTATCGAATTGGCGATATTGAAGGGTAAATAGAGTTTAACTATTTGTTTACTGTAAAAAGAAAAAAAAATGATGAGAGCTGTTCTCTCTTCTCTCTTCCTCTTCTGTTCGACTTTTGGCTCTTGGATTTCTCGGGCCGTCACCGTTGTTTTCGCGGCGAGCCTGCGAAACCAGCAGATCCGCATCGATGAGACTGGGTTCCCCCGGTCAGCCTTCTGGATTCGGCGCGATGCCCAGGAGAAGGAGGTGAAGGTTCTCCCATCTACCTTCAGTCGCAGGCAGGGTGTTTCACGGGAGAATGGCCGGCGCCGCGGTAGAAGGTGCCGGGTAAGCAAAAGGTCGCTCCCGAGTGCGCTTGGTATATAGGAGGCCTCTGAAGACCGTCCACCTAAACGAATCAAACAGGGGCCAAGAATGGCCTGGAGATTTTGCGTCCCTCATTCATCAGAGTTGGATGAGGAGAATTCGGCAATAACCCCGTTAGCGGGGAGAAACCCCCGACTCACAAGCCCGGAATCGAAGCGGCTGGGTAAAGGTGGGCAAATGGTGTATGCTTTCCCCTTAGGGGTGGGAGTTTTCCTGAGAAGACAGTGGATGCGAATCCTGGTTGTTTTCAACTAGGCATCAATGGCGGTTCAATTAAAACTTATGTTAATGTTAGAGACCTTGGAATTCCAGAAGTCCATCTTGGGTATGGAGCTCTTGCTGGGAATCAGTCGTGGAGGGAACAAGGAAGATTGTCGCGGCCAAGCATCCACCCAATTTCCGGTGAGGCCCGGTGCGACTGCGCTGTTGCCAACGAAGGAGAACGCGGCCTAGGAAAGCGGCGGGGATTCCGGGTGGTTGGAGAGGGATTTTCCCCCAAATCTCGACTTTGGTTTGGCGGATTCGTTGGACCCAAATCTGTAACCGGGATTGGATGCCCTTCTCTCCAAGTTAGTTTGCCGATCCAAAGCAAACTCCACCTCCTAAAAATCCCAAGGGGACACGCCTCTTCGGAGGCGTTCCGGGATTAATTCCCTTTAAATTGGCGAAGTCTGTGACCCGCCAACCATTGTGCGAATTCAACAGAATTGTGAGTGCTGCAGAGGCAAAGCAAAGCGAGTCCCACGACCAGCTGAATTCTGCAGCGCAGCGCTCTGCCGGCGGTATAGGTCCCTGGTCCACGCTGCCTGCTGTCTCGGCACCTGCCCTGGAGATTGTCCCTCCTCCTGCCGTGTGGCCCGCTGCGTCCGCTACTAGTGCGAACCCTGCTCAATCACTGTCGATAGGTATAGGGGCTGATTCCCCATCTTCTTCCCCTTGCTCGGCTTTGCTAGAGCCCCTAACACTCTCGAGTGTTACTTCTGATTTTCCATTCCCCCAGGTTCTGCCGCCGCCAGCTCTGCTGGTTTCTTTGGCCCGGCCTTGTGCCTTGGAAGGGAAATTAATTGTTGAGTTGGAGAGGATGGCCATGCCGCCAGCTTTCTCTATTATAAACCCGGAAGTGTCCTCTGATTCTAATGCTGTACTTGCTCCTTCTTGTCAGGTGCAAAAGATGTCGCGTATTGCCGAGGATCAGGTGGTGGAATTCTCCCTTGAGGAGGTCCAATCTGTGAAATTCCGCACTTCGAGGACACTGCTGGGTAGACTCTTCTCAGAAAACAGATTCACTACTGCTGAGCTGAAGGAGGGTTTAATTGAAGCTTGGAGGGTGAAAGGAAACCTTAGGGTGACGCTGACCAAGTTTGGCCTATTTGAGATTGTGCTTCCAAGCGATGAGACACGGGTGTGGATTCTGAAAAGAACACCATGGATTGTCAAAGACAGGATCCTCCATCTTCGGTCATGGATTCCTTCTATTTCGCGGCTGGTGTTTGACGAGCTGGCTATCGCCCCTTTTCGAGTGCAACTCTGGAATGTGAAGGAGGAATGTTGCACCAGGCAGTTTGGCTGGAAGGTGGCAGCTGGGATGATTGGTCAGGTCTTGGAGGCCGACGTCTTTGCGTCAAATGACACGGATGAGTGCTTTATCAAAGTTCTGGCTCTGATTGATTTTACTAAGCCAATACGGTCCCAAGTCATGGCGGTCAGCGAGGAACTTGGCCGTTTTTGGGTCAATCTTAAATATGAATTCTTGCCGACCGTCTGCTTTCATTGTGGGCGAGTAGGGCACTCAAAACGAGACTGTGTATTCGATCCTCCTGCTGGCAGAGAACGCTTCAGCCCCCATTTGTCAACAAGAAAGTTGGGGAGGAGGATATATATGGAGGAGGAAGAGTACCCCGTTGCTCGAAATACTAGTAAATATGTGTGGGTAAACAGGAATGTGCAAATGCATAATGGCGGTACTATGAAGAATCCACGAGGTCGAGTGCAGGATGGACC